ATTGTTGCGTATATCTAGTTCAGCTTGTCCCTCGGTGACCAATGTCTCCACCACTTTCGCGTGTCCGTTTAGAGCGGCCAGATGCAGTGCTGCAAAGCCATCATCCTTGCGCACGTTGACTAATTGGCGCGACAACTGAAGAATGCGACGAGCAGCCACCACGTTGCCCTTGAGCGCCGCATGGTGCAGCACATTGAAGCCACGATGGTTTTTCACAGTAAAATCTAAATTTGGTGCATTGCACAGCAGTTCAACGACCTCCGTGTTCTCCTTTCCAATGGCATCGTGGAGTGCTGTATCACCGTACGAATCCTGGATATTAACATTCGCATTGTGCTTCAACAGCTCCCGCACGCAATGGGGCGTTTTCTTATGCGCGCAAATGTGCAGAGCCGAACAGTGGCTGGAATTGAGGAAATTCACCTCGGCGCCATGCTCGAGCAGTACGCGCATCGTCTCCGGCTGATTGCCAAAGGCGGCATAGTGAAGGGCCGAATCGCCTTCCTTGTCCACTACATTCACATTGGCGCCCTTGGAGATGAGGTATTTCACCAGCTCGACGTAGCCCTGGTGGGAGGCTACCTGTATGCAGGCCTTGCCGCCACTCATCACATCCACCTGACTAGGATTGACATCCAGATATTGTTTCACAAAATCCAAATGACCCTGGGCCGCTTCACGGACCAGCTTGTCGGGCACCGAACTGCCAGAGAGACCCGATAGCGGTGTCATTACATGATCCGTACGCCGATTACTCAGATCCATCATACTATTTGAACGTTCTGCTGCCGTTGCCAAAGGAGAACGCTCCAGTTTAACACATTTCGGATTTAGAGTCCATTCGAAGCCATCGTCCAGCTGCTGGATGCGCAGATCACCATCGGAATATACTTTAAGCACTTTACACAGCTTGCCCAGAGCCTAATGCAAAGCAAGACGATTTAGTAATCCATTATTATGATTCAGATCTAATTCAATATCTTACACAGCGCATGAGATCTATCCATTCGCCGTGTCCTTTCTGCAGTTGCTGCACTTTAGATTCATCGTTTATGATTGTCACCAGATCGCCCACGCGAAACGAAACAACTTTGACGAGTGCGGCGGGGTGAAAGGTCCAGCGATTGGGACAGTTCTCATATTGGACTCTGCAAGTATATTATATATTTAATGACCAAAATTGTTAAGTGTTTGTCGTGCCCACCTTATATCTCCCTTTTCGGTGATGCGATGCACAGTGCCCAATTTGGCGAGATGGTCGACCATACGCGGATTCCAGCCACCGTGTCCCTGTTGCAGCTTTATCAGTGCCTCCCCCTCGAGGCACACTTTGACGCGATCGCCCACAGAGAAGCTTGGCTTCACCATGGACACGATGGGCTGCTGCTCCTCGGGTTGACCCAGCACAGGCATATGATCCTTGTAGTAGTAACCACCGCACGTTGCTGCTATGTACTTCAGATCCACGTTTCCTTTATGACCCAGTCGATAGACGTTCGTTGAACCCGTTACCCACGATACGTTGGCTACACTGCGACACGACTCGTTGTCCCAGCCACGTATTTCCATAACCCGACCCGTTTTACCCTCACCGCCGTCCTGATCGTTCCACTCCCAGTCAGGGCCGCGCACAACCTTCGCGCCCACAAATATGCCACGCAGCTGTATGCGCTCTGAGCCCTTCCTTGCCGGCACACGTACACCCAGTGAGTTGGGCGTTGTGTATCGTACGAATGTATGCTCCAAGTCGTGAATATTACCACCGTAGCAGAAGGCACACAAATGATAATCCGTGCACTGAGCGCACTTAAACACAATGCCAGCTATGCCCGCCTTGGAGCAGCCATCACAAACGACATTTGAATGACGAACACCTTAAATGAGCAGGCACATCATTCAGAAATAATTGAACAAAGAAACAAAGAAGCGATTCACTTACCAACTTGGGCATTATCCACAATGATTAAATCGTATTGATTTTGATAGCCCACTCTGTAGTTGGTGCGATGTCCGGAATCCCAATTGACCACAACCGTGTTCTCTGGCGAATGTGTCGATCCACAGCGTCCGATTTCGCAGACGGTACCAACGTGACCTTCTCCGTTGTCTGTTGGTTGGAAAATAAAATACAATTGAAGTACATCTCTGTAACGGAGCTCCGTTTTCTTGGTTATTCTATACACAGCAGTTCTCCCCAGTTTCCGACAGCTCGCTAGAGCTATTTATAAGACGCCGCACACCCCAAAATGTAAACGAAGTACCAAGGAAATGTTTCATCCGGCAGGCAGACTATGGCTCTTTGGTTCTTTGTCTCTTGCCAAACATCTGCCCCAGCAAACATGGCGAGTTATATAGGAATTTCAGTTGGATACACATATACGGCGCAAGCAGCTGCACTCTAAATTTAAACATCTCATCGTTCAACTTCCACACAAGACCCCCAATTCTCTTTGATTTATTTTTGACGTGCACTTTAAGTTGGGGCAGGACTGTAAAACGCTTAACACTGACAATGTTAACGCTAGGCTGTTAATGTATATTCCAGCTATTTATATACTATAAACAATTGAAGAACTATTCGCAGATTCTGTTTCTCCAACTTCATTTATTCTGCTGCCCTCTTTTCTATGATACAAACGCTTTATTTTAGGAGATAGCTTATATGATATCAATCGTAATATCAAAGGGCATTCGTAGGATATTAACATAGCAACGAAATATTAGTTATAAACAATCTAGCATAAGGATGTTAGTTAACAGCTGATAGTTTACTGTAGTAGGATTAATAGAAATTAAATAGCTATATGAAGAAAGGAAGTTGATATTCCTTTTCGAATTAAAGACTTATGCTATTTATATCAATCTGTTCTCCCTTTCAGCAATAAGCATACATATATTCCTGGCAACGCCTTTAGTGTTCCACGTTTAAAAATAAAACATATACAAATGGCACGCGCCTTGGCAGCAGGCAGCGAAGGCAGCCGTTCGACTTCTTTTATGACAGCGAAGTAAAAACAATGTGGCAAGAGGCACATGTGTGTGCATATTACCCCGCACCCTTGTATTCCCTCCTCCATTGAACGATTTCTATATTATGTGCGTTTAAAATGCAGAGACAGAGATTTGGGAAACATTCCGCTCTGAGTGTGGCTAAAAATAGCGTCCCGTCCTCTTTGCACTCATTGGCAGCTATCAAAGTGCGGATCGTTTAGTGTGTGTAAGTGTGTATACACACACACAGGTATATAATTGTACTTATAAACAAATGGTTTTAGCTAGTCAATGCCTGAAATGGGTAAACAAAAATAAGTAACGTCCTACCTTGGTTCGACCAAATCCAATTTGGGCCGCGTACAACACGTACGCCGGGCGGAATGGAGGCGCGCATTCCAGTAATTAATTGTTGCGTCTCGGCCGCCTGTAAAAAGTACATAATATATAAAGATGTGCAGATAGGTACGTATTAATTAAATCATTGATAAAATATTGCGGGCGAGTTGAGCAGGGAGCAGCGAATATATTTGGGTCAAACGACAAAATCAGCGCATGTCTAACTGGAAATTGTACATATGTAAATATATATGTATATGTATGTATTTCGATGACGCGGGGCACTTTTTTTTTTTTTTTTTTTTTCAAAGAAAGAAATGCAATGCGGTTAACGCGCGTTGCATACAAATTGAACGAATTACCTACATAAATACTATTGGTTAATACTTGAGTAATTGAGTATTTTAAAAGTATTTTAAAGCAACAGAATATTGCAAGTTTTGGTTGACAACTTACTCAAGAAGCCCGTTGACATTACTACTACTATGATAAATTACAGTTGAAGTAATTTTTAAAGGCTTATCAATATAAAATCAAATTATGCACCATATTAACCCGCCTGACATTACTACTACTATGATAAATTACAATTGAAGTAATTTTTAAAGGCTTATCATTGTAAAATCAAATTATGCACCATAATAACCCGCCAACCACATTTGAATACTTTTTAATCAAATAAATTCTAAGCAATATGTGTATCGGGCGTGCCTTTGGGTATTTTGGCATTTCATTAGTAGTCGCTGAATGACGAACTCTTAAAGTGCAGAAATGAATTTTTTATAATAGGGGTAGAAATTGTGAATCACAATTGATAAAGATTTGAATATTATGAGCAGAAACTGATGTCCTCAATTTCTCTGCAGCTGCAGGAGTCGTCCATAAACTGAATGACGCATGAGATAAGACATATGGATACATATACCCTATATATTAGCATATCTACACTCACATTCATGCACATAGATAGATATAGGCATGTATTTGTTGAGGAAATGTACAAATTCCATTTCAGTGATTACACATAGTTTCCACAAGTCAACAACACGCGATAAATAATTATTTCAAAATTATAACAATTTGATTGTTATTTGTTGTGATGGGGACACACACAACTTACCAATGCAATTTTTCGCTTCCGTCCGAATGTACAACTGTGTGTATGTGTGTGTGTTTAAATGCGTGCTGGATGGCAGTATTATAATATCGCTTTAACACTCTATTTTCAGTAATCGTTTTGCACTAAATTTCTTCTTTATGTCATTCAATGCATTTCTGTGTGCGTAAGCTTTTCGCGACTCTTACTATTATTAATTACTTTTTGTATTTGTTTTATAATACACACAAATTCGTATCATGCACAATTTGTCACACAATTAGCATAATGTGCTACTTTGTATATGATTTTGTTAACTATATAATTTAGTACAACCCGTTATCTATATGCTGCAACGTAGCAAGCATGTTAATTTAATTTTATTAACCAAAATTGTACCTTAAAATTAGTTTTACTTTAATTTTATGAATGTAAAACAGTGTGGCTGCAAATTGCAAACGAGTTAAAGTGTAGGTGTTGCAAAAAATATATAGTGAAAAAATACTAAATATTGATGCTCCACACTTAACGCACGACTCCACACTGAACGAATGTGTAACCCCTGACAACATATGTAAACACAAAACAGATGTGTAACACATGCATAAACGGTCACACTGTTAGCCAACAGCAAGACGCACATTTTTGTTTATAATTCTTATTTTTATTTATATTATAAAGTTGTATGCAACATTATTACAAAACTATCATTAGAACCATGGCAAGCAAAAAGGCGACACTGTCAAGTAAACTGGCTAAGCAGGTCAAGCCAGAAAAACCAACTGTGAAGACCGGGTTGTGGGTAAGTACGCAACATTATTTTTTAATTTGAATGTTTTCATAAAATTGCGAGCATTTAGGATATTGAAGAATTACCCAGCGTTGCTGCTGCACGTTACTTTTCACCTGTTCAGACTCGCAAACAACGACAAGTGAATTCGCTGCCAGAATCAAATTTGCCCGCCAAAAAATCGCGCCTTGCTGTAATTTCAAAAACCTCCAAAATCCAAATGGGCAAAGCAACAATTATAAAATGTGAGGTGGTGCCGGAATGTGACAAGGTACCAGAAATTAAAGCAGAATCAGCCACCACAGTAAAAATCGAACCAGACTTCCCCAACATCAATTGGCTGCAGCATTTGGAAAATATTCGCTTGATGCGCAGCGAAAAACCCGCGCCGGTTGATACAATGGGTTGCCATAAATGTGCCGATGCGAATGCGAATGAAAAGGTTTGAAGGAGTTTGTCACATAACTTAACTATACTGTTGCTTAACTGAAGCCCTAATTTATAGACGCAACGTTTCCATATATTGGTGGGTCTCATTCTATCCAGCCAGACGAAAGATGAAACCACCTTTGAGGCAATGAACCGCCTGAAGGCGCAAACTCTAACTCCTGCTCGCCTGAAGGATCTACCTGTCGAGGAATTGGAGCGTTTACTTCATCCGGTTAGCTTCTATAAAGTATGTATACATTTTTGAATCTGGAATAAAATACATACTGACTTATATAAGCTCTTTGTTTTTCTAGAACAAAGCCAAATACCTAAAGCAAACCTCAGAAATACTCGTCGACAAATACAACGAAGATATTCCGAACAATATCAAGGAGCTATTGAAGCTACCTGGAGTAGGTCCCAAAATGGCGCATATTTGCATGGCGACGGCTTGGCAAGAAATTACAGGCATTGGCGTCGACACGCACGTGCATCGCATTGCCAATCGTTTGGCATGGCTAAAGAAGCCCACCAAGGAGCCGGAGCAAACGCGCATTCAGCTTGAGAGCTGGCTGCCTCGTCCACTCTGGGCAGAGGTGAATCATTTGCTTGTGGGCTTTGGCCAAACAATTTGTACGCCTGTCAAGCCCAATTGCTCTGAGTGCCTCAACAAGGATATCTGCCCAGCTGCTTTGTTACCCAAGAAGAAATAAGAAAGCTCAAATAGAAGATAAACATATTTTAAAGTCTTTAAGTGAAAAGCGAAGCTTATTAATATAGAATTTGCATTAAGCTCAATTTGTATGGTAGAGTCAAATATAAAAATATAAAAGATAAGATTAGAGATCAGTACTTAAAAATATAAGCAATTGTTCCTATAAACTATGAAGGCCCGCTAGAAGGCAGTGTAAATTAAAATTAAGATTAAAATTGAAAAAAAAAATAATGATAATTTTGCCAAACTTTTCAATTTTTTTGTAACCCTAGTTGTCTTCAAAATAAATAAATAAATTCCACATATTATATTGATTTTATTAAATGCAAAGGCTTTAAGCAAAAACCTCCAGAGATTTTTAATTTTATTATTATTATTTAAATTAATTAAAATTATATACAAATATAATCTTGATCTTGAACATCTAGTGTCCGACTTTGATATTCTTTAGCTATATGGAAATATTAATTCATATTTCAGAGCTTGACTAGCCCACTTGGGCAATGCTCATAGACTAGCCTCGGCCATTCTCTGTAAGTTACTTACCCACGTAGACAACTCAACCTGGACCACATATCAGCTGTATATTCTCTAATATATACATATCATCCCAGCAAGCTTTCATAACGGATGGCTAGAAAAGTTGACTCGTAATTCAACATCTGTAGCGCATTCGAATTCCCAAAGTTCGATTATAGCTGATCCTTGGGTCCTGTTGCCGACCTCATTTATTGTAAATTGACCTCATGGCGAGAAAGTATTATTCAATAAATTGCTGTTCATTTCAACTTGGTCGCATGAATTATGTGCACAAACAGCCGCAGTCATGGCCAAAACATCAGCAGCAGCACCACCAGCAACAAGGAGCCGTAGCACGTGACACCTTAAGGCTGGTGGGCCGGGGGCTGTTGGCTGGTGGACTCACTGTACTCGTCCTGCCCGCAAAGTCATCAAGTTATGGCTGGCGTGCACTCATCATCAGCTTCGTTGCGTGCGCGCTTTCCTGGGCAAGGGCACGGGATGTGGAAGTTTAAGGGGATTGGACATGGGTTTGGGTTCGTTTTTAGGGGGATTTTGAGTGTCGAGACAATCTGTGGCCTAGCATGGCTTATAAATGATGCACAGGCTGGGTTCAGACGTGCGTCCACAGCCAGAGCTGCAGACATCAGCATGCTAACTCGGCCCAGCCCCAGCCACAGCCGCAGCCTCACTCCTCGCACACACAGACATAACTTTTAAGTTCGAGACTTCAACGCCCCGTTTGTCAGGCTGTAATTCAACGCTGTTTACGTGCTCTCCTCCTCCCCACACAACTGCCTTCAATTCACATCCGGCGTGTGCTGCCGGCGCCATCGCCTCTGTGTGTATGTGTGCGTGTGGGTGTGACGGGTTTGCTATACTACTTAAGCGTGCGACAACAACAACAAGGAAACGTCCATCTGTCGGAGTCATGCGAAAATGTTTGTCTGCCTGCGTCTGTGTGGGTGTTGAGTGTGCGTGTGACTTGTGTAAGCATAACAGACACACACAAACAAGCACACACACACACACTCGTAGACATACACAGCTGCATTGGGATAAGCAAACGCCCTGCCGTTAGCCAAGTCGCAGTCGCACAGTCAAGTGGAACTCCAAATGCGTCAAGTGAGCGCAGCGCGATATGCGTCCTGCTCCTTACACCCGCATCCTTGCCGCCTCATTCCTCTTTCCCTCTCACTCCTCACTCCCTCTCAGTCGGCTGGCACTTGTCGCCCTTATCGCGCACCCACACTCGAAACAGTGGCAAAGTTTGCTGCAGACATCCTGTGGCGAATTATGGTGCTTTTTTGATTTAAGCCCAGTGCGGTCCTGACTTACTGTATGGCTATATATGTACCTCTCTGCATCTTCTTCAAAGCAGTCTGGTTCAGATTCACTTTACTAGTGGTCCGAGTTAGTCGGGTTAGTTCTAACTACTGTATATTTATCGGTTCATTGTTTGAACAGGTTTATTTATCTATTCTAGCGCTAAACGATTGACTAGTCAAAGTTATTACGACTATTTAACGATAAGTATAAGCAAGTATTCTATTATCCTTTTCAGCGCGAGGAATTCTACATTTTCTAAATAAATTAAAGCACTATCCATAGAACACATAGGCTAGACATGTGGAACAAACTTTTTCAACACCGAAAAAACTGTCTAAAAATCCGTAGGTTCGATCAACTTCGTATTTGCTCGGCTCTTCACTTTGAGGTTCGGTCTATGGTTAGTGATTCAAGGCAATATTTAAACAGTTAGTACTTTTTTTTTATTTTTTACATATTGGCTTTTTTGGTACATGAATATCGCATTAAAAGTACTTTCAAAATCAATTCACAGCATTAAATATACTCAAATTTGGTCACATTAAGCGAACTTGAACTAATTCAAATTTATTCACATTTTAGAATGAGAAATCAGGCTATTTTGATGATCACGTTGCAGTTCCAGTGGCTTTAGGGTTTTAGCGCTTATGAGTTACATAAAGTTATATATCATCAGCTCAGGAACTGCAAATAAAAATCATAAAACTAGTGCAATTAAGCACATATTTTAGTTCTCTGATCCGATCTGCATACATAACCGCACTCATTCTCTCTCCTCTCTGTCTTTCATTCCCTCGCTCTCTTTTGAATTGTGTGTGCAACTTTTATGCAAAAATAAAAAAATCGTTATAGGGCTGCCTAGACACAGATGTTACCCACGCGGCGCCGTCAGCGTTGAATTCAACTTAGTCAGCCGCAAAACAAAAACAGGAAAAGAGAGTGGAGGCGGTGGGTGGTCGGAGAAGGGATAAAGGCGTCGCAGGGTGCGATGACGGCAACTGTATGTAAGAAAAACTAAAACGGGTCGCTTAAAAATGGCGCAGTTTGTGTCGGTGCGGGCAGCATAAACAAAATGACATAAACAGGCAACGTGCGTGGGCGGGCGGGGCGTGGTGGGACGGGTCGTTTGGGGTGCTAGGTGTCGAGTCCTTGCACGAGCGTGCAAATCCCAAGCACAGGGCACAAAACAACAAAAGTAAACTTGTGAAAAAAAAAAGAAATGAAACGTACAAATAAAATCCACATCCACACGACGCAAATTGTATTTTTTTTCCTTTTTTTTTTTGTTTTGTGCTGTGTCCATGTCCGTACAATGTCCTGCGTCCGTTCCAATTGCTGGCAACAACTGGCGGTCGCTGCCGTCACGCATCAAGCATTCATGCCAGGCAACAACTACAACAACAACAACCAGCCACACACACACACACACACACACACTCATACAAAAAGCTTACACGCCTCCGCACGCGTCACACGAAAGCACGAAACCAATTTGAGCGCCCACATTCTCTCTCACCCAATTAGTCGCACAGACACACACACAAGCACACGCACGGTCGACCTCACAGACACACAAACACATGCACATTGCCCACTCTGCTTCTGCTTTATGCCATCCACATCAGCCATCGTTGGCGTTCGCTTCGTGTCGTTATCCTCGCGCGCACGCTGCTGCACACTTTTTGTTGTTGTTGCTGTTATTGTTGCTGTTGTTGCCCTTTTGCCATCATCAACGCCATCAGTAGCGTAAGTTGTGCTGCCAGCAGCGCGAGCTTAGGGGAGGGCGCACAGCCGCAAAAACGGCACCAACAACTACTTCAGTGTTCATGTATATGTGTCTGTGAACTTCTGTGTGTGTGTATTTGGCAACGTCGTCGACCAACAAGCGACACGATAATCTCGCACGTCGCATTTTTAGTTGCCGCACCCACCGCACCCGATGCCAACACACAGTTATGGTCCTGGCAGAAAGCCAAATGTGGCAAGTAGCTGCTGCCAGCGTTGAGGGGGGAGCAGTCAGGCTGGGGGTTATGGGGCTGAGCTGCCAGTATGCCAGTGAGTGAGCCAGACGTTGGGCGGTGGCGGCAGCGCTACCGACAAATGCTTTCGAATTGCCATGACAATCAAAATGCTTACAGGTACAGTGTGACCAGATTGTAGTAAAATCAGCAATATTTGCCTCAATTAGTAGTATATGCGACACATAAACTAATTAACGCCTAATTACTTATATGTATAAGCCATATACATACATATACTTTGCTTCAATTAGCGCGAAATTCATTCGTTTTCAATGCACTTTTAACCACTGTGCGAGCACAAGCACAAGTGCGACAATATCAACAAGCGTAGCTGCCGCCAGAGCTTGAGCCTGACGACGCCCATCAGACACACTTCAGCTCTAGCTGTCATTTCGTTTGCTTGTGTATGTGTGTCTGTTTATTATCGCCAGTGCGACATCCCCTACCACAGCAGCAACACCCCCGCCGACCTCTGGCTGCTGCCCCATCGACATTGTCAAGCTCGAGCCCTCGAGCAAACAGAACTTTGTCGTTCTCAGTGTATAATGGGTCGCTTTATATAAAGAACACACTAAAATATATAGATTTTCTGCTAGTATTTTTGCTGCTTGGCATTATAATAGCATGTTGTGAGCGAACAGTTTTCTGTTAACTGACAGCTGCTTAGCGCATGTAGATGAAATGAAACTTAAATGAATGATTTTAAATAGGAGGAATGTTATATACAAAATCTTGAAATACATTTGATTAAAATTTGTGAATTTGTTTATAAATAATAGTATATATGTATCTCATAAAAATGCTATTTCAATCAATTTCTGTTTGTTTCCCACACGTGCCTTGAATTCTACAATAAATAATACATATTGGCGCCACTGTACTTGCCAACTCAAAAGCTGCCGCCGCCAAAGACAAATAAAAAAAAACACACAACAAGCAAGAAAGTACAAAAAAATTCTGTGGCACGAGGCACGGAAGCATGTTGGCTGACGCTGGCGGCAGTTGCGACGCATAACGACGTCGATGACTGCCCTTCTCAGCGAGCGTGTAGTCATCGTCCTTCTGTATCCTTACCGTGCCACACCACACAATCCCACACCACACCACAGTGAACCACGTCGAGTCGCGTCGCGTCGCGCTGCCATTTTTTTACCCTCCGCACCGCACTTTTGAAGTTTGAGCTAAGTGACATGCTGTTTATTGTTGAAGGGTGTTAGAATTGCGCTCGGCGCGTACATACCAGTTGATTTGTGGAGCGAGAAATTATCCTGCCACGGCACCAAAGAACAACGCACGCGC